TTTAAAGACATTGCCTTCAATGCAAAATTCTAGATTAGCAAGTATGAAATCCAACAGAGGAAATCTACAGCACAGATACATCATCCTGTCTAAGTATGTCTAAGGTAACTAGGACAGGATAGTTAAGGTCTGAAAAATATTATGACAGTATACAAACAAGTGTTATTTTTTTCCATTGCATAAATCTATATATGTTAATTATGTACAAATTAACAGTGCTGAGAATGTCAGAAAAGGCACCAATTAGTTCCAACTGCAACAATGATTTTGTATATGTAGATACCTTGCTGTTAGGACATAGGCTACAAACTCCAATTTATTTGACCATAACAGGCCATAATTTACAGGCCAAATATCCACCAGATAATAAACATTTTCAACATACCTTTTTGGTTTAATGAATGTTTTCAGCATGTTTTTGTGCATACCTTTCATGAAAACATTAGAAATCACACTATACTATTTTTGTATAGGAATGTAGAGACAGTTAAAACAGTATGCAGAATGTGTTTGTGACTACTATTAAGAAGAATACATCTGTGTGAGAGAGATCAGTTATCTCTACAGTGCGAGAGTTATCAGGTAACATCTAGTAAAAATAAAAATAAAACAAAATTGGTACTTAAAAACTACTAACTACAAATTTGTGTTCTGATTTGAAAATCTAGTGGACAAGTCACAGATATTACCAGCTTTTTATTGCTGCATTATGCATAGATTCTGTTTGACTCACACTGTCATATAGCAAAACTATCATCTCATGGAATTTCCCATGAAGGAGCTGACCATGCTTTCCATCCATAAAATCAGGATGCTTATCTCTGAAACAGGTTATTGGAAGACAGCAGTGAGTTTTTAGCAGATAAGGGAAAGCCTATGCGTATAATACTGGCTTGCAGTAGGTGCTACAAAGCAGACTCAGAATTCAGGCATTGATCCTCTTTGATACTGCCACTTTCTGTGTGTGTGTGAGGTTGGATAAAGGAGCAGCAGAGAAGTGGAGAGGATAATAGAGTAGTACAGCTTCCTTCAGCAGTGGCTGTTAGAGGAATGAATTGAGGTGTTGGAAGAAATTAAAGAAAGGAGGGGAAACTGCACTGTTCTCACTTCCCACTTCTCCCTAGGAGACTACAACTAGTTCAGTGGCTTACCTTCCCTCTTGCACTTACCCATCTCCTGAATTAATTCACATGGTCTTTGTAGATATTTCTATTAAGTGTGTTTTTTCTAAGTAATGCTCTCTAGGTACTTTCTAACACCTATTACATCCCTCTAGTGTAATACATAATGAGCAGATTCAAGAAAGCATGTGCTTTAGAGCTCTTTCTTGCTTCACTCTTGAACATCTCATGATTAGTAAAGTGCTCTGCTGTAAATGATAGTTTGCAATGGGTGATTTCTTCTTTAACTCTTTGATACCAGGAGATTTGAATTCCCCTGTGACACAGCAATCCCAAATATATTAGAAATTAAGAAGAGAATTCTGGCCCAAAGGTTATGGTATAAGTAAATCCGTTTTCTGTATTCATCATTTACAGCCAAGTTTTCCGGGGGGGAGTTCATTAATTTTGGGTGCCCATTGATGGGAGCTGTGGAACCTCAATAACTGAAAAGTAGGTGAAAGTAGGCACCCAAGAGTGAATACTCATAAAAATGTTGTTCTATATTATCAACATAGTGACCCCACTCAAGCCAACACATTATCTGTAGTGGTTGTCAGCATTTTTAAATAATCTCTCTCTTTTGGGAAATATAATTCAATTTTAAACCTGACTTTGGGGCAGAATTTGCCCAAGTTTGAGATATAGGTGTTTTTTTTTAACACTTCAACAACTCTAAAAATGTCATTAATTTAAGATTGAAGGGTCTTTAATTTGAATTTTACTTTGAACAAACAAATTAATGTATGTACATTGCAGGTTTTGCAGCCATTCCATGAGATTTATAGAATATCAAAACCTAGAGAGATTAGATAATTTTAACGTCAGTGACAAAAAATGATCTTTGCCTGCCTACTTAAGAATGAAATACTAATGCACTGAAGGTTGTCGCACAGTTTGTATCATCAGAACAAATTACAAGAAATGCTTATTATTAATCACTATAGCGGTAGTGCCTAGGAGACCCAGTCATGGATCAGGACCCCTTTGCGTTAGGCACTGTACAAACACACAACAAAAAGATGGTCCCAGTCTCAAAGAGCTTCCAATCAAAGCATAACACAATGTTGAAAATGCTTCAATTATCTTTGTTTGTTTTACTTTAAAGGTGAAATGCAATGTTTTAAAAACCCTTCAAAACACTTTTGTAGAAGTCCAGAAGTAGACAGCCATTTAAAAAAATGAAATTAGCATTAAAGATAAACAAATTACCATCTCCTTAACAGCCTAAGAAATGAGATTTGCTATTGTCTCTGTCAGAGTGACAGACCCTAATCAAAGGTTGGAAAGAACCATTTCTTCTAAAATTCTATTTGCTACTATTGCTGTAATTCTGTGGCAGAGAAACCAGGAAGATCACAGCTCAGATTTCTCAGGTCCTTGGAGGAAATATTTGTTAGAGTAGGTGTTAATATTTTAAACAAAAGGGATTTGTTTTGTTTTCTTTTGGATTCTTAACAGCAAGTTGGAAAGATTTAGTATAACTTGTCCTGTTCAGCTATAAAGATGATCTATTTACCATACAATACCTGTAACTGAAAACTACTGAAAAAGAGAGATAAATAGACAGAAACATCTGATACATGAGTAAGACTACGCTATAAATCTTAATGATAAGAGTGCTGCATATAAATTTTCTTATAGTATAATATCACATAGTTTTTGTCTTGTACTCTTAAAATAAGATTTGTGACATATACCTTTTCTTTCGATTAATTGAAAAGTGGACTTTTTACACAATAATTTCTTTGTTTATTTTTCAGACAAGTGGCACGTTCCATTCAGTTGGTGGTGAATCTATTGATTTGTTTTAAAATATAGTGGATTGGCCAATTCACAGCAACAATTGACAGACACAGTCATTGTAGCAGACTCATTTTCTCTTCATCTAATTTCTTTTGTAAGACCTCTAGAGGGCAGCGAATAAAAGAAAATAGAATTCCAGAAAAAGATGCAAACATTATACACAAGCTATAAAGCAATATTAAAAAAAAATAGTGTATATTCTCTTCTTATATAATCTCATTAAAAAACTCCCATCTAATTTTTCATGTTAATTTAATGAGATATTTTTCTATCCCCAACCTTCTAGACTCTCAGACTTTTTTGGGAGAAACACAATTAAAAAGAAAAAATTCAAATGCATTGCTAAATTTTATATTCCCTTCTTCCATTTCCCTTGGAACTACATTCCTATGCCCTGCTGGAAAATAAAAGTCTGCCAAATACGCATAGAACCCAGGGTTCCTTAAAGATGCACATGGGAAAGCAGGACTTTGGGAATTGTACCAAACCAAGGAATAGGTCTTTCTTACCTTTAGGTACGGTAATGATTAGATTTAACTATCTACTTTACTATGTGGACGTAAAATATATAAAGTTATGTCTAAAGTGTGACAGCCAGAAAGTGATGGCAGAATACTCTCCTTTACATGGCTCCTCCTTGGCTTGTACTCATTTATTGAGCACAGAGACAGACATTTACCTAATACCTCCAGTACAGACTTATCCATGACATATGTGTAGATAACTCCCAGTGATATGTGTGTACCATCACACTTGTTTACTTTAATGTTAAGAATAAGTTCACTGACAAATTTACCCTAATGTAGAATCTATAAACTAAGATTCCAGGATTGACACTCTGTCAATGGGTCACTCTGAAGTCCAGAATGACCCACTGACAGACATTCTAAAGTCCAGAATGTCTGTTGAGTCAATGTGAAGGAATGGAAACAGCTACGAACATGGTTGAGAGCTCTTTCTGTTTAGAATATCTCCAGGTACAATAATCACTCTGATTTGTGATCTGTTATCATCCAATTTTTAAATTCTTAGCCATTCTGACTTTACAAATTACACCCATGTGGTTTATAGCTACCGTAAGGTAACTATGCCATGCCAAGAGTCCTAGACTATTATGATTTCAGAGGTAACTCAACCAATTGCCACCCTTATTCTACAACTAATTCTCATGCAACAATGTCACTGGTTACATGAGGGAGTCTGCACACATAGTGGGTTACTTGGCCCAACTGCCATACCTGTGTGACAGCAAGGGTTTTCAGCTATTAAAGCATTAATGTGTAATAGAGTTACTGGACAGTTTGCACAACAAGCTGGCACAAAAGCTCACAAAAATATACAGTGCAACTTGTGATATATCACACAATAACAATGTTAATCTATGGGACAAAATTAAACACCAGGACAAAATTATACCGTTGTATGACTTCACGCTAGGTCTAAATAATTTTTGTGGGGGTTTTGTGGCTAAACCTGGTACAACTCCAAAAATATAGGTTTAGCTGTGCAAGTACTGTGGGCAGAAGATCTGTCTCCCCTTAGCTAAAATATTGTACATCTTTTGGAATGCAGTACGGGTCCATAAATGAAAATAAAAGAAAATGTTAAGGATTAATATTGCCACAAAATAAAAAATAAATAGATATAAATTTTAGAATTAAAAACACTAGTACCTAGAGATCAACATTAGGAGAACAAAACAAAACGAAAAGCACTGTAATTAATAAAAGATGGCCATTATACCTACATACTGGAGGATATATTGGGGCAAATCTTCAGCTGGTTTTCCCTTAATGTCAAAGGAGCAATGACAATTTACAGCAGTAGAGGCTCTGACCCTTGTTTTTGGTAAACCTTGATTGTCAATTCAGTTGTTCTCCTCTCTTCCCCCATTCTAATCTTACATTCTCTTAATTTCGTGTTTTCTGATGTACGAATTTCCTTATTCTTGCAATGTCTTCTTTATACCAGCCCTTTATACCAGCCCATATTTTTCAACTTCTTTTTCTGCCTATGTTAGAAACTGAGAATTACCAAACTGTTGAGGGTCTCTTCATACTCCAGTTGAGTTTGCTGTGATGTCACAGAATGATGCATTCTGTAGGGATTGGCAAATATAATTATTAATGCCCTGAACCTTACAAATATTGTCTCTATTCAACCAACTAAACATGGTCAAATGTTTTGCTAACATTCATGCTATTCCCTATCCCCCTAACCTAAGCTGCTGGAAGCAGTCCTAACTGTGACTCCATTGCCCAGTAAACATGCAGTGTTTGGCAAAACATTTCCCCTCACATTGGCTTCCAGGACAGATGCTGAAAAAGAACAACTACAAGCACTTCATTTCTCTGAATTGGGACAAAGAAGGCATAGATCCCCTGACACACTGAAGAAAGTCTGTAAGTGGTCACACCAGAGGAACTACCCAAGTAGGGAAGATGCACCACAGGCAAAAGGTACAAACTCTGCAGGAAGCTCTCTTCACTCCTTACAAGATCTACAGTAGTCTGAACTCTTAACCTCAGCCCCTGTGCAGTTTATGTAGTCCAGTAGACAGCCATACTCCATTCTCTGTAGCACTTTCAGCTATACAGGAGACTGGCCAGTTGTCTGAGAAGCTAACTTAGCTTCTCATGAAAGCTCAGCATGACTTTCCTTAAGTACATGCTAAATGAGTTTATCTAATGAAATCTATCGTGCATGTGTAACCACACACCTCCTGGGTGAGGTGCTCTGTCCCATGTAGTGGCACCGAGACCACTTGGAGCGAGATTAATGAGTTTGCTCAACAACTTTAGCAAAAGGCCATATGGCTTTTAGCTGATGCAGTAGAGACTCATGCACTAAGCTCCAGAGGCCCCAGGTTTGATCCCACCCACCAAGGACCAGGGTCTGTCGGTGTTACAAGTGGGGGCTCATCTGGGATTTCAACTGTGAAGTCTCTGAAGCTCGGGATGTACTTCCTCAGCTAGGGAAAGTATGTAAGCCACACACCGCCTGGGTGTGGTGCTTTGTCCCATGCAGTGGCACCTAGACCACTTAGAGAGAGATTAGTGAGTCTTCTCTACAGTCATAGCAAAGAGCCATATAGCTTTAGCTCATGCACTAAGCACCACAGGTCCCAGGTTCAATCCTGCTCACCGAAGCCCAGGGACCTCTGGAGCTTAGTGCCCAAGCTAAAGCTATATGGCTCTTAGCTAAGGCTGTAGAGCAGACTCAATCTCTCTCTCTAAGTGGTCTTGAAAATAATAGTAAAAGGCTGTGAATTGCTTCTAAGTGAAGACTCATTCCATGTCAAATTTCAGCTTTCAAAACTTCCTTCTCTCCAGCTATAGGCTGTTTAAAAGAGAGAGAAGGGTGGAATTTTCATGTTCTAGCACTCAAAAGCATCTCAAACTTTCCAACAACAAACCCCACAAATTTGCAGTGACCTTGGAAAATTTCAGCCTAAAAGTTGAGATTTCAGAATTATAAGTAACTGTAAACTGGGGCAAGAAGAGAAACTGCTTTGTGGCCTTCTCTACAGCAGGGCACCTATCTTATAGGTAGATTAGATAAAATAGATACATACATACAAAAAAAAACCCTACAAAACTCAGTGCGCTCATGGACACATGAAAGCTAATTTTCACTGGATCATCTTAAAGCACTTCTGTAACATGGGAAATATGTCCTTGCCAAATTACAAGTTTCTACAACCTCCTGTATGTGTGAGAGTGCTGATTAAAATAACTTTTATTTATTTATTATTGTAAAATCTCCTTTTATTTCCCTCTTTCTTTGAAGTCTCTAAAACAGGCAAATTGTTTTTTCTCTAACTTCTCTAACTTCCAAAACAACCTGCTCTTAGGCTAGAAACAAATGTGCCAAATTTCAGCCTAAAAGGTAGAAGTTTGACAAAATTATGAGCTTCAGAAAATGATCCTTTAGAATGAAAATCCTACAATCAGATCTACATAGATGGACCCCAGAACCATTATGGAGCCCTGCTGAAAGCAAAGGTATTCAGGGTTATAGGAAACTTCTCCTAGAGATAGGGGGAGTTATATCCTATAACTCCTATCACACAGTTTCTTCTTCAGAAGGCACTGCTGCTGCTGCCCCACTATACAAGACAGAAAACTGGACAAGATAGACCATTGGTCTGATCCAGTCTGACAACTCCTATAGCCCGAGACGGGTGTTCTGGTGAACATAAGAATGGCCAGATAGAGTCTGACCAATGGTCCATCCAGTCCAATATCCTGTCTTCCAACAATGGCCAATGCCAGGTGCTTCAGAGGGAATGAACACAACAGGGCAATTTTCGAGGGATCCATCCCCTGACCTCCACTCCCATCTTTTGGAGTCAGAGGCTAGGGACACCCAGAGCACAGGGTTGCCTCCTTCACCATCTTGGCTAATAGCCATTGATAGACCTATCGTCCAGGAACTTATCTAATTCTTTTTTGAACCCAGTTATACTTTTGGCCTTCCCAACATCCCCTGGCATTAAGTTCAATGGGTTGATGGTGCATTGTGTGAAGAAGTATGGACCCACGTTTGTTTTAAACATGTTGTCCATTAATTTCACTGGGTTACCCCTGGTACTTGTGTTATGTGAAGGAGTAAATACCACTTCCTTATTCAGTTTCTCCACACCACACATGATTTTATAGACCTTTATCTTATCCCCCCTTAGTTGTATCTTTTCTAAGATGAACAGTCCCAGTCTATTTAATCTATCATATCCAAGCTCGTCCATATCCTTAATCATTTTTGTTGCCCTTCTCTGTACCTTTTGCAATTCTAACATACCTTTTTTCCCAAGATGGGTAACCAGAACTGCATGTAGTATTCAAGCTGTGGGCAAACCATAGATTTTGATAGTGGCATATTTACTGTCTGATTATCTCTCCCTTTCCTAATGGTTCCTAAAATTCTGCCTGTTTTTTTTTACTGCTGCTGTGCATTATGGATTGTTCTCTGGAAACATTTGCTTGATGACTCCAACATCTTTCTTGAGTGGTAACAGCTATTTTTGATCCCATCATTTTGTATGTATAGCTGGGATTCTGTTATCCAACGTGGATTACTTTGCATTTATCAATATTGAATTTCATCTGCCATTTTGTTGCCCAATCACCCAGTTTTGTGAGTTGCCTTTTTAACTCTTCCCAGTCAGCTTTGAACTTAACTATCCTGAGTAATTTTGTATCATCTGCAAATTTGGCCACTTTACTGTTTTTACCCCTTTTTCCAGATCATTTATGAAGATGTTGAACAGGACTGGATGATTTACCACTATTTACCTCTCTCCCTTTGGAAAAAGTGACCATTTATTCCTATCATTTGATTCCTATCTTTTAACTAGTTACTGATCCATTAAAGGACCTCCCCTCTTATCCCATGACTGCTTACTTTGCTTAAGAGCCTTTGGTGAGGGACCTTGTCTTTCTGAAAGTCCAAATACATTATATATGGGCACTGGGATTACCCTTGTCCACACATTTGTTGATCCCCTCAAAGAATTCTGATAGATTAGCGAGGCATGATTTTTCTTTACAAAAGCTGTGTTAACTCTTCTCCAACAAATCAGATACATAAATGAACACAACAATTCCGTTCTTTAGTTTCAACCAATTTGCCTGAAGTTATGGTTAACATTCTGCAACTGCCAGGATCCCCTCTGAAGCTTTTTTAAAAAAAATCAGTATCACAACAGCTAACCTCCAGTCATTTGGTACAGAAGCTGATTTAAATGATATGTTATGTACCACACTTCGAAGTCTGCAATTTCATCTTTGAGTTCTTTCAGCACTCTTGGGTAAATACCATCTGGTCCTGGTGACTTCCTATTGTTTAATTTATCAATTTATTTCCAAAACTAATATTGACACCGGAATCTGGGACAGTTCCTCAGATTTGTCAGCTAAAAAGGATAGCTTAGGTGTGAGAATCTCTCTCACATTCTCTGCAGTGAAGACTGATGCAAAAAAATCATTTAGCTTCTCCACAACAGTCTTATCTTCCATGAGTGTTCCTTTAGCACTTTGATCATCCAGCGGCCTCATTGACAGTTTGTCCGGCTTCTGTCTGGGGTGGCTAGGCTTGGGTGGGCTCAGGCTTTGGTCCCCCTGCTGGGGGGGTATAGTAATTTTTGTTGTCAGAAGGGGGATGTGGTGCAATGAAGTTTGAAAATCCCTGATCTAGACCATCTCTGGCAGGTGTTTGTCTAATCTGCCCATTAAAATCTCCAGTGATGGAGATTCCAAAACCTCCCTATGGAAATATATTCCAGTGCTTAACTACCTGACAGTTAGGAAGTTTTTCTTAATGTCCCACTTAAAACACTCTTGCTACAATTTAAGCACATTGCTTCTTGTTCTATCCTCAGAGGTTAACGAGAACAATTTACCTCCCTCCTCTTTGTAAGAAAATTTTATGTATATGAGAACTTAAGTTCTCCCTCAGTCTTCTCTTCTCCAGACTAAACAAACCCAATTTTTTTCACTCTTCTCTTATAGGCCATGTTTTCTAGACCTTTAATCATTTTTGTTGCTCTTTTCTTGACTTTCTCCAATTTGTCCACATCCTTCCTGAAATATGGTGCCCAGCATTGGACACAACACTTCAGCTGAAGTCTAATTAGCACAGAGTAGAACAGAAGAATTATTTAGTGTCTTGCTTACAGCAGTCCTGCTAATATATTACAGAATGACATTTGCATTTTTTTTTGTAACAGTGTTACACTGTTGACTCATATTAAGCTTGTGATCCACTATGACCACCAGATCCCTTTCCGCAGTATTCCTTCGTAGGCAGTCATTTCCCATTTTGTGTGAGTGCAACTGATTACTCCACTTAGGAAGGAACACTTTGCATTTGTCCTTATTGAATTTCATCTTATTTACCTCAGACCATTTCTCCAGATCATTTTGAATTTTAATCCCTATCCTCCAAAGCTTGCAAACCCTCCCAGCTTGGTCTCATCTGCAAACTTTATAAGTGTACCCCCTATGCCATTATCTAAATCAGCAGTTCTCAAACTTTAGCAACCCGAGGACCCCAATTTGAATTTTAAATTTTTCGTTGACCCCCCAAACCTCCCACTCA